TAGAAGTAAAATGTATCTATAATAAGATGTGAGATGGTATAATGGTGATATTTACAGAATTAGTTTCTTTAAAAAAAAACAGTTCCAAATCGGAATCGATAGTTTGAGTAATGCCTCAAACAATTTCAAGATCGTATTCGAAGGAAAACGGACTTGCGTATCCCGCAAGTCCCGCCTGCTCCGCCGGGGCTGGCCGCACCATGCCGCCTGGCCTGGCCGTGCCGCCGCGCCGACAGAGGGCCCACAAAAATCGGATGGGTGACGCAACGGCGCAGAAGGGGAAGGGGGGGGGCGAGATGTTTTCCTAAATTTCACTTTACGACGCTCCTATTCGTCCGATTTGCATGATTGTCACGGCGTGGGATTCAGGATGCATGTCGTCATCGCGCTATATGCCCACAATTTTTAATTTTTTCTCGGAAGTTTGAGAACTAATTTCAAATTCAAAATTTTGGTAGATTTTTGGAAAAAGGGCTTCGCAGCGTAAATTCTATTTTAAAAAGGCGTCAAATGCCGTTTATAGATCGAAAATCGGACTATTGGTTCAGACGTTATCAGTAAAGTAATTTCCCCTGTGATAGTGCTGCGATCTATTGAATTTTCCTACAAGTATTTTTCGGTGCATTTAGCCTTAAAGTAATATATCAGTTCTACTAAAGGAAACTGAAAAAAAGGGAGAAAATGTCAAAAAATGTATTTTGGGTGGTGATAGATGTCAGCTGGCAGGAGGATGGGGCAAGACGGTAAAGCCAGTCAACATTAAGGGAATTAGAAAAATTCTACGAGAAAGTCTGTGCCATTTATAGCACCACTAGCTTATTTATGTGTTAATGTTTTGTTTTTGAACAAATATGTTTATTTCTTTTTAAATAATAAACAATTTACATAATTCTGGAGTGTTTATATTTTCCTGCAATGCAAATTTTTGCATAAAAAGTATTTAGTAAAGTATAAAGTTTCGTTTGAGTGCTCACTGCGGCTCGGCGATTAGGAATACCCAAGGAGTTTATTAGACAAAATATGTTTAAAATTGTCTTAAGAACTTATTTTCGAAGATTCGACGTTTCCGCCCTGGACATCTTGTATAGTAGATGTCCAAATGATACAACGCAAGTCACAATTCCGCTTGCAGAATAACTTAGTCCCTGACCAGTTAACAATACTAATCACTCGTAACTCTGTCACTCTGGTGCCCACTGTTAAAGTAGTATATTTGTTAGACCGACCAAAGTGAAAATCTGTTCTTCAAGATGGTAAGAAAATATGGGATCTTACCCGACGAAATTTTAAATAAAAGAAGTTTAAATTAGTAAAGGCTCTTATGAAAAAACTTCCGCGGGCATGCTTTTTTAATTTTTTTTTTAAGTTATTGAAGTTTTGAAGTTATACGATGAAGATAGTTTTTCTTTTATTCAATATGAAGTAACGTTTTTAGAATTCAGATGGTATTAAATGTTACATACTTCATCGGGCATTCTGAGGATTAATTGATAAGAAACTGCTGCGAAATTCATCGGAACCGGAAGTATTGGCTCTCGGCCTAAGACTTATGCTGTACAAATCATGCTATTGTCACCACTGATTCTTCTGAAGTACAAGATAAAGATTAGAATTTTGTACCACATACAAACAGAAACTATTTGACAATAATTCACTTTTTTAAATATAAACAATGTTGACTGATATTCAACGCAGAAAGCACGATAAGTACTGTCGCCGAAGTCGGAGAGGCAATGCTCTCAGCGCTCAGTAACGAAGGCATCTGCATTTTACCACTGAGGTTCCGGGTTCGACTCCCGCAGAACGTCATGTGAAATTTTGTTACGACAAAACGGGTTTGCCTGCTTCACAGGGGCCAGTCCAACCTCTGTGAAGCGCCCTAAACCTTAGCGGCATCCTCATACGTGCGCGATCAACCTTTGTTGGATTTGCTCATCTTGAAACACCCATACAGTCGACTGCAGTTTACTTTCGGGCTCATACGCGTAAATCCACGATTCATCACCGATCACGATGTCATAGACGTGTTTAGAAGCACCGCGATCGTATTTGTTGAGCATTTTTTTCGACCAATCGACACGAGCCTTTTTTTGAGCGATTGACAATTTGTGTGGGATTCAACGCGAACAAATTTCTTTGACAGTCAAATGTTCATGCAATATTGAATGTATGCTGGTCCTACTAACGCCTAAGGTTGTCTCAATCTGACAATAGGTCACATGATGAACTTGCAATATCAGTTCACGCACAGCATCAATGGTTTTCGGAACAACAACTGATTTTTGACGACCTTCGCGAAATTCGTCTTGGAGTGAACTACGACCACGATTGAATTCACCATACCATCGATAAACACTGGTCCTTGATGAAGCTTCATCGCCAATAATTAAATTAAGTTCATCCAATCACTGTTGTTGAGTTAATCCACGTCGAAAGTTGTAAAAAATAATAGCACGAAAATGTTCACGATTTAATTCCATTTTTGGACCAAGATGAATCTTTTAAGTTACCGTAAACAACACAAATAGCGCTCGTATGTCAAAACGCTCTGAGTACGTATAACCTCAAAACATCCAACTTTACGATAGAGCTGTCAGTTGCCAGATTGCAACACCAGGGTTGCCAAATCCCGAAACATAAAAGGCAACCTTCGTAATAATGGAGAATTACTCCTAATAAGCGCACTAAATTAATGGTGGATTGTGCAAAGCGCTTAACACCCCCCCAAAGGGCTGGGGACGCATTGCGTCTACCTGGATATTTTTATAAAATAATCTATATTAGGAATTGCTAAATTATGAAAATGAAAAATCATGTAAGAGAGTATATTTATTAGTAAACATTGTTTCTCTAGAGCAACTATTCAATAATTCTCTTTTAACTCTTTACAAATAATTATTTAAATGCTCTTTTCACGTTTGCAAGCAGCTATCGCTAAACTGTAGATGTAATAAATGGCTGAGTGTTTAACTAGCGACTGGCACGAAGGACCCCGGGCGACGTCATACCTCACTCGCCCCGAGGTTCCCAGTTCCAGTGGCAGCTTCCTGGGTCTGGCCTTCCGCGATGGCGCGAGCTTCCGTGCAGTGCGCGGTGATTCAAACGTCCTACCAGCAACGATCGATTGAGTGGTTATTCCGGACACGTCAACTAGACCCGTTCAAGTCCTTAGGCTCGCAAGTCTAATGGATGTTTTAATCACGGGAGGTGGCAAGATCCGTCGTCGAACTGCCCGTCGGCCGTTTTCTCCAACCAGACATCTCCCACCGGCGAGGCACCGCCCCCAACGGGACCTGGACTCGTGGCATTTGTAGTATTGTAGTGCAGTGTAAGGCTGTGTAAAGGGTCAGGATAGAACAAGGAAGAGGAAAGAAAGATCGCGCGGTTCGTGGCCCGCTTGTGATGGTACTGCTCCTGCGTTATCCTGGTGTAAGGATGTGTACAGGGTCAGGATAGAACAAGGAAGAGGAAAGAAAGATCGCGCGGTTCGTGGCCCGCTAGTGATGGTACTGCTCCTGCGTTATCCTGGTGTTGTTCAGAGAAACCTAGGAAAATTGCCGGTCAGTGCAGCCGGTCGATAGAGTTATATTCCAAACTCTGGCTGAAGTCATGCTAACTATGTTCCTAGTGTAGAATATCCTGCCACCGTTGGCACTAGAACGCTTTCCTTCCTGTCAGACGGACTGCAGTGACATCAACTGATGCCCTGAGCCACCTAAGCCGGTGTAGCGAAATTCATCTTAATCGTACTGGCGTATGTGGCTCAAGCCGTCAGATGCCACTGCAGTGCCTCACAGCGGGAAGCCCCGATGGAGGCAGGGTTTTCGATCGGGAGTTCAGAGCTTGTCCCGGCTGAGACAGTGCCGCAGTGGTGGAAGATACCTGTTTGGGGAAATCTTTCATTCCGACGTGTAGGTCGGTGCATGCAGATGGGGAAGAACACAGCAACGTCCCGTGATTAAACATGCACTACACTTACGGAACTAATAACCTTAGCAGTTGACGCGCTCGGGAACACAAAATAATCAATGGTATCAAATTATAGTTACGGAGAAAACTGACAGATCGGGTGAAGCCGAATTGACGAGAAAGTCACGGGAAAGTCTGGTCACCTTACGCCAACGGTACGACTGTAATATGATCGTTCCCTCTCTCTCAACTAACGTATACATTTTATCCTGGAAGAATGCATTAAAAGAAAAAAAAAAGAAAAGAAAAAAAACACGAATGAAAATTATAACTTGTGATGCTGCTATAATAGATTCGTTCTCGTATTATTCGCAGCGGTTACGTAATGTTAAAATATCTAATTAAACTCGTCCAGAAATCATCAATGGATCAAAATTATACATCTGTGAAATCTTATTCCTATTTATTAAAAATAATTGTTATTCAGAGATTGGTTGTTTTCAGGTAAAAAAAAATGATGAGCAGGAATTTTCTGACGTGCATCTTTTGTTCTTAATTTTCAAGGATCTGTACCTTTAGTTTTTTTGCAATCAGACAGGCTTACACAAAGAATATTAATTACATGCCCTAATCAATGTTCTATACTAAGTCTACTAATATAATCCCAGCAGCAGATGAATGTGCTAGCAGTTCAAATTTAATTCTTGAGACCAGAAGTGAGGCAAATGTTATAAGTCTGAAGCAAAATTTGATGCTTCAAAATGAATAACATTTTGGTACATTAGTAAACTAAGTTTATTCATTGGAAGACATATCTAGGAAAGGTTATAAATGAACAACAATTGAATAACAATTACATTTTTTTATTGTAGGTTGCACTGTGTTAAATATTTTGAAATAGTCTAATGTATCACTTCTAATAGCAGAAATAAACATTAAAATAACTGAATTAAAGATAGTATAAAGAAATTAAATGTAAGTATTATGTGATTAAATATAATATACTGAATTAAACTACTTGCCAGAGACGTATAAAAATCATGCCATTCATCTTACATTACTATTCAGATATTACTAAAAATATTGTATAATTATCTATGTATTATAAACATTTGAAAATTCATTAATGGTTGTAATAACAATTTGTTTCCCTCTGTAAAACATAGACATGTTATTTGCAAACAAAAATAATTATCTTTAAATAATAATTTAGAAATTTGCATGCAATTAAATTTTTTTATGAACTTCAAATAGATTAATTCTTGGTATCACAGTGCGTTTAAATGGTGTTACAGAGATCGTTTTGGGCTTCAAACAATGAACATAGGTCCCCAATAAACCCATGATTTTTTTAATGATTTTAATGATTTTTTTAAATATTTTATTTTCAATGGATATAACCAAAGGAATACATGTATCTGCCAATTAAATCCAAATTTTATATTTTTCAGGATCCACTTACAATTTTCCCAATGATATGAAATTCAATCGTGTTATAATAATATAATACAATTTTAATTTCTTTTAAATTTATTAATTCATAAAAAATGAACAAGTGAATAATAAGATTTTGTCACTATCAATACACTCAAATACATAGAATTAATACAACATAGTTAAAAAGATATGAATGTTAAACAGATTGCAACAATGTTAAAAAGATTGAACATTTTCAAGAATGTCAGTGGTACACAAAAAAAATGAACGATTTATATACTAAGCAAGTATTTTTACATTTTTGTGCACTGGAGATTTTACAAAGGTCAATAATACATAGTATATACAGATCATATTACCATGCACATTGGCCATTGAAAAACTGTTAAAAGATTGCGTGACTGAAAAAGCATTTGTTGGTGTAATGATTAACCTAACCGTTGTGATGATTTCACAAGGGGTGCTCATGAAGCATTTACAAGATACAGCACTGTGGGCGGGAAGGGAAATAACCTACTCATATGCTTTCAGGCTCTTGGGGCAGGAAAGATTTAACGAGACATATCAATAAGGAGACAAAAAATTAAAAAAGCAGTGTTTTATAGAGGAAAACAAACTACTCAGCAATGTTCAACACAGCAGATAGGGTTGTATTCACTTTGCTTGATGACAGAATGCTTGAGAAGTACAGCAGTAAATTTCAGGAACATCTGTGTATGTACTTTTTATGGTTGTATTCACTTTGCTCGGTACCAGAGAATACTTGTGAAATAGAGCTGCAAATTTCAGGAACATTTTACCAGCTGAACTATAACATAGAAATAAAATAATATTCTTATCATGTCTTATTTGTTGCATGATGTAATGAACAAAGATAAATTCAGTTTCTGAACATGAACACTAATTGAAATTACATCTCAAATTGTAATAATACTATATTAAGTTGTTTTTTTTTACATAGGAATCTTTAATGAAATATGTTCACGGCTTGCAACCTATTTAGTTTTGAAATACTGGATTATTAGTTATTACTTATAAAAGTCACATAGGTTTAAATGCCAACAGAGATTTCTCAGTATGTGTGTTTGAGTGTGTGTGTTTTTAAAGGAGGATGTTGCAAAATCATGATAGTGAGTGTCATAGGTGAAGGAGGAGTCTGATGGCTTTATGATCTCACTTTCTTTGGAAGGTGACCACAGTGGTGAATTTCTATTGCCTTTCACTTTATGCATAATGGCAGGGGTGATCTGGAGGGATACGTGATGAAATATGAGAAGAACGATGGTGATGTCATAATGGAATGGGGCCTGCCTCAAGTTGACTTCTATGCCTTACGTGGAATTCCTACTCCTAGTACAACTGAGATAGGTATACATGTTCATAGGGAGGAGAAGATATAGAAAGTATTATGTTGGGAAGGGGGTGATTTTAATTTAATTTTTTGAATGTGATTTTTTTAATGAAGTGTACTAGCTTAATTGGAACCCTGCTTTTGAATATGGTGTGATGAATATGTGCTAATTGTTTGGAATAAATTATATAAAATTACAAAAATGTGTTAAATTTGTTTTGTATGTGTGTGTGTGTGTGTGTGTGTGTGTGTGGGGGGGGGGCATTGAGCAATGTCTTCTAGATTTATCACCCCTCAAAGAGCAGGCTTAATTTCAGTTTATGAGACCTATTACATAAGACATATAGGTACATGAGATACGCTGAGACAAATACATTCTTTTTTTATTTATTTACATGAAAAACAGTTAAAAACTGTGTGTGACATACTATGGGGAGAAGTTAATTTAAAGTTACACTTATGTCCAGAAGCAAAACAAGGGGCCATCAGGAATTGATCGAGGATCAGGGAAACTGGATGAAAACCTATTCGAGATGGGGGTCATTGACCCAGAAATTCAAATTCACAATTCAAAACAACATGAGAGTAATTTCAATAATTACAACAAATTCAGCCAAAACCAAGAATTCACAAAATACTGCCTACTTGCAGATATACTATAATGATTAAAGGGATTTGATAAGGTTCTTTAATAAAAAGACAACAATATTCATAAAATATACAAACGCTTAATTGAATCCACCTGGTAGTTGGGGTGCCAAAATAACATTTTGTTTTCTTCCATTTTACTGAGAATCCAATTACATAAAAAAACTTGAGGATTCTGTTTACTGTGGTTAATATTGGTTTATGAAGCAAGTCCTCCTGTTCAATACAGGAAAAATCTGATATTATTGTTAGTAGAACATATATATCGACAACCTGAATACTTAAGTATATACTATTCAGAAATCAGTTTGACAAGTGATCTGAGCAAATCCATAAAGTATTTTGCAAGGGGGAGGGGAACATTTTCAGTTCCAGCCCTTTCCCCCATTTTCCAATTGTTGGTTCACAATAATAAATGTTTATATCTAACGGGAATTCTCCTTTTTGTTTGGGATGGAATGTAATTGTTTCGAATAAACTGAATAAGATTTTTAAAAAAAATTGCTTTGTGGGAAGCTATGGCCTCAAACAACCATCCTTTGGTCTACCACTGAGCCATTTTTGAACCACTAAAATATAACTGCTCAGGAATTATACCTACCAGACTTTCAATGTATGAATTTAGACATTCATGGATTACAAATAAACAAAATTGAAGTCTCATTTTCAACATTCTAGGACTGAAGACATAGCTTATATTGCACAATGACTATCAATAACTAAATACTATAAAGAGCAAAATTTTTTTCCAACATATGTACCTACCTGATCTGTTTTAAAAACCTTGTTCCTCCCCTTTAACAGCAGTTTGTAAATTATTATACTGGGCTGTAATAAAATATTTGAATAATCCACAGAATTAAATAGTAATACTTTCTGATAAGTTTGTTAGAACTCATAGAAAAGTCTCCATTTTGTATTAAAATCCATTTAACACTTCTCTTTAAAATAAATTATAAATAAAAACAGATAAACACAGAACAAAGAACTACAGAAATCTACCCTGTTACGCAATGAAATCTCAAAATTTAATTCACAAGTTATATTTTAAATTTGTCTCTGGCAGATTTAATTTATTCACTGGCAGACTCATCAGACTCCTCCAGAGTCTTAATTCTTTTTACTCCTTTTAGAGAGGGGCATGCAGATTTGTCATGAGTTGTTTGGGAAGGCCCTGCTTTTTCATCTGTTTCTTCTTTCAGTTTCTGATTATTCTTCAGCAAAATTAATCCATCACTTCCTTGCACATGCACTTCTGGAGACAATTTCTCTAGTTGGCCATGCATGTCAGATACCCCTGAAGTTTCATTAATGTTCCCAGATGTTGTTTCATTATCACAGCTCCCTTCCACTAACTTTATGGAACCAGGAATAGTAGCTTTGCTTGTAGTATTTGTTGTGTCAGAAGTGTGAGAAAGTTTAGTATAATTGTTACACAGGATTTCAAGCCCTTTATTTAGCAATGCATATTTACGATCATTTTCTGCTAGAGTGGCCTCCATTTTAAATAATTTTGCTTTTTGTTCATTGATCTGAGAAGCTTGGTTCTTCAATTTAGAATCTTGTGCACCAATTTGCTGAGACTGATGACCTAAAGAAGTTTTCAAGTATTGTATATCATTGACAAGTTTTTGAACATCTGAAAGATGAGTCTTCAGAATATTATGTTTAGGAGTTGGTTCATTCATCCAGGAGCATCCGGGTGTAGGGGAATCAGCTGCATTTAATTTAGAAACATCGCATTTACCTGCTTGACTTTCAGCCATGTTATTTTTGGCGGCAGAACATCTATCTGAAGAGTCTCTCGCAGCATATTCACCTGGAGGGTGGTTATTCTTGGTGGAGTTAGCTGCAGAGTCTCCTCCGCCAGAATTTTCGTTTGCACAATCACTTCTTCCTGAGTACGTGGTTGTACGCCGTTCATCTGCAGAAAATCCAAATCTGGGTTGTTCATCTGCAGAAATCAGAGCGGATGTATTTATATCAACAATGAATTGGTCGAAAGAGTCATCTAATAGATCGTAAGTCAAATAGCGATCTGTTTTGCGATATCTGATTACAGGTAAAATATGTTCCTGGAAATGTTCTGTTGCCATTATTGTTAGATTTTCAAGTTCTGTCATATTGACTCTAGGGTTCGTGTTACACTTCCCCAAATAATTGAGAGCAGCATATATTCTATCAAGAAGTTTTCCTGGTATAAAATAGCATCGTCCTGTTTCCAAGTATTCTGAATAGACTGCGTGTAATCGCCTCAAATCTAGATCAATTTGCCACAACATTATTTGATGGTTTATATAGATACAGTTATTTCTGTCAGTGGTCTTCCGCGGCATTTTCTTCTGAATTTTTTCTTCAGCTTTATTAAGAAATGATCGAACTTTATAAAACCCCCGATTTAATAAATGTCCACACACATCATCGAATCTTCTGCATACAATTCTACATTTTGCTATTTCATCGTACGTAAGGTAAGACAAAATGGCTTCGAGAGCGGGATCCGGGAGACTTATCAGCGAATATGGCATTTCTGACACGACTCAATAGTTTCCAAATGGCAAAAAAAGCACTCTAAACCACAGACAAAAAAACTGTTATGGCGGTTTCACTGGTCTACAGACTTGCTTGTGGTTCTTACGTAAGCAAGGTACGTTTAGAAATATACCACGTGACCACGTCGACGAAGAGCGTTCATTGTTAGAAACGCTTATCTAGAAATGCGAAAAGTTGGTGATTCGTACGTGATTAAAACGAATAATAGTTTTCAAGACTACTAAACTTGTACATACGTTTGAAACTTATCTATCTCATTTCAAACACTGAAAATATTAAAATACCTATATAATTTTTAAAACTCCTATTACATATTCGTTCTATTTTTGACATAATATATTTGTTAATATAATTTAGTACATTCTGTTGTAATGTAATTTGCAAATAATATCATTACATAAATTTCATTTATGTATTATTCAATATTATTTCAATATATAAAATACATTAAATTTCAATATTCAACATATCAGAAACGAACCCATGATTTACACGGGGGGGGGGTTGCGTGCGTCACAGATATAGTGTCCAGCCGACTTGATGTTTTCATACAAATATTTTTTCCTTTATACTGAATATTAAATGCATTTTAGTTTGTGAATACTGTTAATACTTATAACATTAACATTGATCTATTGAATGACTCATTTTGCACAAATTAAATTAATTAAAGAATATAATTATATAATAATTATATATTCAAGAAAAATATAATAACATGTGTCTCGGATTTCATAAAGGAGTGACAGTTTTCAAAATATCAATGAATAATATAATATAATGTTTTCTTATTATTAGGCGATAAATATTACAAATAAAATAATTATTCTATTATTAAAATACGAAAAACCTAAATTTTTAATTAGAAGTCACAAAATCTAAAAGTTCTGACATCTAGTTCGCTTCAAACATCGTGTGCCCCTGCGTTTGTAGAGTAGGCGTGCAGCGCTCCTAGCGACAGTTTCGAAAGTACGATGTAAAACGCGTTCATGTTAATGTTTCAAATGCCAGCGCTTTATAGAATAGCAGTCGGCCCTGACATCAAGGACATAAACTGTGATCGTACTTGATAACGTGAGATAGTGACCTCAAACATTTTTACATTATTGATGAAATTACAGAGATGACACTCTGAACTATTTTATTGGTCTTGTTTCTGGCGTCAGCACCTTCAGAACCTGCATTTTGTGCCTATGCTTTTGACCACTTTTTCGCCATGGCGGTACTCATGATATTCTTCTGGCGAGTCTATGAAA